TATGTGCGATCTCTTCCGACATCATTGAAGAGTTTCAAGCTGTTGAGTTTGGATTTTCCAAAATTCCCAAAATATTCTTTAACAAAAAAATGTTTCGCGTCACCTCCCTTCACCTACTATTCCAGCCTAGGGGAATACAAGACGAAGGGTGGAATACCAGAGATTCGATTATTGGGAAAAAAATAATTGTTTAATTTTGTTTCATGTTTGCTTGTGCGAGTAAAAGAAATTTAACATTCATACGGAGATCAAGTTTTCTCTTATGAGTTTCGTCAAATTGATGTTTTGCATTCTAATCACTATGATTTGTTTTTGTAATCTCTTTTGGATTGGTTTGTAGGCGCCAGTTGTTATGTTCAACCCCTTAAACAATGGTTTGAGAATGCAAATATGTATTCTCTGTGTGTTCTAAAAGAATTAGCAAATCCAATTGTTCAATTGTGTTACATGTTTGCTTGTCTGAATAACGGAAATGTAGCAGCCGTAGAGTTTTGTGAAATTGAGATTTTGTTTTTTTGTCTCAGGATTCCACACAGGACCAAACGTGGTGTTGCTGCGCTTGCTCGCTTGAAGATCTATGAGGGAGTCCCATCTCCATATGACAAGGTTAAGAGGATGGTTATACTTGATACTCTCAATTTTCCTGTTTGGTTTAGACCTGATGCTCTCAAGTGAGTCTTATTCGGCTTTTGTGTTTATCATTTACTAATAGTTAATGTTAAATTCTGTTAATGATTAGTTGATTTGGTAATTAGGGTTTTGAGACTTCAGAGTGGCCACAAATTTTTGCTTATTGGGCCGTCTATCATCTTGAGGTTGGCTAGAACCATTATGGTACTATTAAAGTGAGTCTATCTTCGATGTTTTAACACATTGAGTAGTGGTACCAAAAGTAGTACATTCTATTTTCACACAATTACATAACTGAAAGTCTGAAACTGATCTTGGAGTTTTCGATTCAAATAGGAGCTTGAGGCAAAGAAACAAGAAAAAAGGCCATAAGTGTTGTATCAGCCTAAGAAATAGTTCATATCACAACTCGATGTTAAGTATTGAAGAAAACCAACATATATCACCTCTAAGTATTAAATGCATTTAATGGAAAAGTTAATCTTCATTCTACCTTGACTCTTTGTCTGACGGCAGTTCCTGATCTAGGAAGTTTCAATAATAGTGTTGTTGCTCAGCAGGTTGGTAGTTGCAATTTTGATATTTGTATTCGCCATGAAATGTGAGAGTAGTACATAAAGATTCTCTTTAAATTTTTAACTCATATCAGAGTAGTTCTGACATGATAATTCTCATGTTTTGTAATCTACAGATGCTACCAAATTGATCAAGAAGACTTACTTTAGTGGATGTATGCATCTCACTTGGTTGTATAAGATGGTTCAGTTTGTGTGGCCTCTAATTAACATAATGCTTATAGGAAGTTAAATCTTGCTTGTGAGTTCTTTTGGTTTCCTTATCCTTAATGATATGCTTATAGGAAGTTGATTGCTAGCTCGTTTGTTGAAATTAGAGAACTTTAGTTACCACTGATTTTGATTTCATGATAAAGCTACTCTATTTATCTCTTACCAACTTTTATGATTTTGATAATGTGTCGTTTATATAAGGTTTATGAAAACTGATGTGGAATTCTTTTGTGTTTGTTTGTTTTGGTGTTTTTTCTACATTGTTGTTTCAATGGTGTTTTATTTCAAGATTGTTGCTTGGCAGGGAAAGAGAAGATGTGGTTGGAGAACTTTGAGGTTCAAGCTTAGTTTATTTCATAAAAAATTGTTTTCAAATACTTTCTTTCATTTTTGGAGACTAGATTGCATTATGACAGTGTAGAGATCAACTATACTACTTGGAATTGATTATTAGTGGTATTTGAGAATGCAATTTTCATTACCCAAGTGAAACATTTCTGTTCACAGCTTAAATCATCTAGGGCTTGCTTGGTAGGAGTCTTTCAAGACTTTAAAAAAACATTAAAGTGTTTAAAGACAATTTTTTACCAAGCATGATTTGTTGTCTTTATGTTTTTTAAAGACGCTAAAGCTTTTCTTTAAGTTTTTTATCTTGTTTTTTTAAAGTCTCTCCTCTAACTTTAAGAAAATAAATAACTTTAAATGATTTATTCTTTTTCTCATTTTCAAAAATTATTTCAAGCCTTTTTTAGATTTATATATAGTTTATAACTAAAAAAATTTGGTTAATTAATTGTTATTTTTTTTATTCTTTTAAGATCCATTATGTAAATCAATAAATTATCAAAAATTCTCAAAATGAATGAAAAGAACGCGATAAATCATTAAGACCATCTCCATTGTATTTCTCTATTTTTAACTATAGAATTAAAAAAATTATAGCATTCCACTATTTTTTTTTTGTCAACAAGCTTTTTCATTAATTTAACCGATCAGAGTACAATAAAAGGGAATTAAACATCCTCCAGCATTAATACAACATAAATGAAATGCGATAAAACATAAGGCAGATAGATCATCGTAGAAGATGGACAGCGGATCCAAGACATGTCTCGGAGGCGTCAAGAAAGTCTTCTCGGTAAGGCCGAAGAGTCTCAGGATAGTCACTTTACATCGTGACTTTGAAGAACCCGGCATAATGCTCGGGGATTCGATCAATCTCAAAGAGAAGGAAGAGAGTAGAATTAGACTCTTTCACCGGGAGTAAATTACAGGGTTTGAGAACCCGGAAAACTTGTGTCTTTTCACACTAGAAGAAATATATTCAATAAAAACTACAGGATTTGAGAATTCAAAAACTTTGTACTTCTCAAATTTGAGAAGCAAATAAGCTCAAAAGTAAATAAGATTTTTCTGCATTTTAGAATCATTGGGTATGGGCCTATCACTCTAACAAACCCAACCTTTATACTCCTTCTGGGTCGAGCCCAAACCAATGATACACCTAGCCCAATTTTAATTTTAACCATGGGCCAAACCCAATGTTCATTAAATTTAAAACGGGCCAAGCCCAACTGTAAGTCAAACTACGAGAATCTTACAGTTCGACGGAAGACGGAGGGGCATTTCCGGAGAAGACTCTGGTGGTGGTGATGACTGCGAATTCCGATAAAGTCTTGTACCAGAGAGACCCGATTGAACAGCAAAGGGGGTTGTGGTTTTACGCACGTGGGGTGTTGAAGCCACTGTGCCGAGGCCCTACCACAGCAGAGAGGAGAAGGAGACGGATGCAGATCTCTACAGAGAGAGATTTTGCCGGTGTGTAAGCGGCGGAGCGGGATTTTCTCACGATGGTGGGTTTGGAGGGAGAGCCCGTGGGGAGCGAGATCATCGCCATTCCCGCATCGAGAGCATCACCTAGACCTGGTGCCGATCTGGTCTAGGAGTGGAGGGGAGCCACGGCAAAGAGCCAAAGCTACGTTGACGGAGGTGACTTTCCCGGTGAGAAGAACGCCGGCGGAGACGAGATGGGATCTGGGCGACGGGTAGTTCTCGTCATCAACGGAGCATAAGATGAAGCCGATGATTTTGGATTGGGCGAGATGAGCAGAGTCTATACCACGACGATGAGGCCATTGCGGAGGGTCCGGAGGGTCCGGCGGCTCAGGTGGTATCAGAGCTTCTTTCTCTTCCGAGCTTGGATTCACCCAAGACAGGGAGAGAGTGAGGCTCTGATCATCTCGATACGTTCCTTCCGATGAGGCCGAGAGCTTGGATTCACCAAAGACGGCGAGAGGAGCGAAGAAAACTCGGAGGTGAGCTTCCATTCTCACCGGTGCAATCTTCAATCCGACGCCTCGAGCCCCATGCCTGGAGAGCATTCCACTATTTCTTCTCCAATGTATCTTAATGATAATTCAAAACTTTTTTCTCTATATATAGAGGAATTATATAATGTTCTCTATTATAGAGGTAGAAATGGAGATTGGTTGGAGTATATTTTACTTTATAATATAATTTAGAAAGAAAGAAAAATATATATGTGGGTTAGAGATACCATAAAACAACTCTTTTTGATTGAACGAGTTTTGGGGAAATATAAATGTTATTTATAATAGTTCTACACAAAATATTCTTCACTATATCATTAAAATAAAAGTCACAACAGATTCTACCGATTTTATTACCAAACGCGCTTTTATTAATATTTTAAGCAACAGCCACAACACTAACAACCAAAATTTTTGCAGC